CCCGGGGAGCCGCAGACACAGGAAGAGGTCAAGGGCTGGGAGATACCGGAGCTCCCTAGAGCTTGAGGTCAGGATATCAGAGTCGGAAACCCCATGCAAGTCCTGGAAACAAGGGTGCTCCCAAGAATAGCTAAGAGGCTGCAAGTTTCGCCCCCTTCCCCGCGGACCGCCCCTCCGTAAGCCACGCCTACAGCGCCTACTTCTCAGGATGCAGAGAGCTAAGGTTTAAGGGTCTCTGGTCCACCGACGCCAGCTTGTCTCGCTCTCCAGCAGCCTGCTAGCTCTCAGGGCTGCCCTACCCCCACGGTTTGGAGGTCTGCGGGACCCCTTGGTTTCCCCCTCCAGCTGGGCGTTCCGCCCCTGGCCTATGAAACTCCACCTCCTCATTCTTTGCTAGCCGGGATTGGTGGACCTCCCGCGGCGATGCCTAGCGATTGGTTCCCATGGATGATGGTGACCAGCGAGACTCCGCCCCCAGCCGGCGCTGGGGTCTGGGGGCACTGCTCAGCGGTGCTGGGCTGGCGAGGCTTGAGCCAGCCGCACTGACAGCTCCGTCTGTGGACCATGGAGACTGGCGCCGGTCCACACCCGCTGCGCCGGTTCGTCTGCCTGATGCCACTCTGCCTTGCTCTGCTTCTGGGACCTGGGCGGCCCGGGACCGCCGAGGAAGGTAAGGTGGGTTGTTCCTGGGAGCCTGAAATGCCCAAAAATAGGGAGTTGGGGGTCTAGGGCACTGGGGGAAGGAGTCGTTGGAGAGACTACTCCGTTTTGGAGCTTGAAGCAAGCAGGCAGCAGGGCGGGAAGAACTAGGGAAAGAGGGGAGGTTGGCTAAGCGATAGAGAAGAGAGGGGTATTGAGGAGCTTAGGTCTGGAGACCTAGGAGGCTAGGGAAGAAAGAAGCTGGGGACCACAGGAGCCGGAGGCAGCAGTTCAGGGGCCGTTGAGATGGGCAGGCTGAATGGTGGGAGGTGGGAGGTGGGAGGTGTGGGGGCGGGGAGATGATGGGAGCAGGGAAGCCGAGGGGATGCGGCGAGACCTGAGCATGAGGTGTGTGTGTGTGTGTGTGTGTTTTGGGGGGGAGGCCAAGAGAATATTGGTGTGAACAGCCGGAGTCTGGCTGCTAATCATCAGGGTTGAGTCTGGGCGCTGCCCGAAGTGCTGATCGTGGAACTGTCCGCAGTGCTGAATTGGGATCGAGTCACCACTCGAGGTCCGCGTTGCGGAGGATTTGGGGCGACATTAGAGCCGGGGTCTTGCCTCTGCTCCCACACCTCTGGGAGCTGTACACTCAGTTGAATCCGGAAGCGACACAACCAGGTGCAGAATCCTGAGATGCTGGAGCAGACTCTGCCCTCAGGGTCCGTCCTGGCGCGGGATGGCAGATGCCTGCCTGTATGCAATTCCCAAGCACTGTCGGCGGCCCTGCCCACCATAGCAGCTGCCTCTAGAGCCAGTCCCTCTTGGAGGCCCTCACCTTGGGAAGCCCACCGCTTCCTTACCACTCTAGGGAAGTCATTTTCTGAGGTTTGGGGATGGCCTAGCTTCCTGTAAGCAGAAGGCTCTGCTATCCAGACCCGGGCTTCTCTGAGCCCAAATGATGAAAGGCTGCCAACCTGTCACATCCTGAGGGAATAAAGTGACTCCAAGCTTTTCTGGTGGGGAGAGGCTGGAGAGGGTCATGGATGATTCGTGAAAGGGCCCACGGCATTCTTTCAAAGGCAATAGAGGTGGCAGCCTCTGGGAAAGGGGCTGGGTAAAGGGCCAGAAAAATTCTGATGTTTCCTCTTGCTAAGTAGTCTTTCTACTCCCTTTTCACCAGAGGCCCCAGGAGGCAAATGCAAAAGGTTTCTGTCTCCTCCATGACTGGTGAACTGACCTCAGATCTGAGTGGATTTTGGGTGCACCCAAGAGTTAGTTCCCAGATCCACTACTAGTTGACAGTTAAATATAATTCGGGGGAATTTGGGGAGGGTGAAGAGGGTCACTGCCTTCTATCCCTAATGTGAAAGCTGACCTTGGAGTATTTGCCATGGCTCTGTGGGGGAGGCAGAAATAACACTTCAACAACAGCCAGGTCCTAACCCCACCCCCAAACTTAATGTTACCTTAAGTGGTAAAAAAGGACAGGCAGTGTGAGTGGGGATTTGACATGAAGAGATTAATCTGGACTGGATGAATGGTTCTAGTGCAACCACAATGGGCCTCATATGAGGGCAGCAAGACTCCGAGCTAGAGGAGAAGGCAACATGGTCATAGAAACGGAGGTTGAAGTCAGGCACTGAAGATGGGAGAGAGGGCCATTAAGCCATTAAGTTTGTGGTCTTTTGTCACAAGGGTCAGGGAATGGATACAGGTGATCTTCATTAATCACCCTGGCTGCCCCTCTCTAGACTTGAGCTACTCTGGTCTCCTTGAGTTTGGCTTTGTTCTCCATCACCTCCTGTAGCTATCTGTGGCAAACCCAGCAAAGGCTCCCACCCTTTTCATCTGAGTGTGCCTTTCTGATATCTGTGTTTTCCCCTTTCCTTAGTTATCCTCCTGGACTCCAAAGCCTCCCAGGCTGAATTGGGCTGGACGGCACTGCCAAGTAACGGGGTAGGTGTTAAAGTGTCGCTCCATCCCAAGGGTCTTCTAGTAGACCAAGACTCAGTCCCTTTAGCACCCTGTGATCGCCTAGGATCAAAATGTACCACAGAAACTCCCCACCCACGCTCATGTAGGCAACATTAGTTAAATGCAGTGGGCCATACACACAAAGATATGTGAGCAGGAGGGGCACTTGCTGGGAAGAAGGTTTGGAGGGGAGGATATAGAGAGAATAATAAGGAGATATGGCTAAAGCACATTATGCATTATGAAACTGTGAAGGGATTTAAATTTTTCAATCTACATTTATTTATTCATTTTTGTGTTTATGTATGTGTGTATATATGTTGGTGCCATGATGTGTGCATGTGGAGGTCAGCACCATCAGTGGGAGTCCATTCTCTCCACACACCATGTGGGTCCCGGGGATCAAACTTAGGTCAGGCTTGACGGCAAGTGCCCTTACCCACCGAGGCGTCTCAGCTGCCCCAGGAAAGAATTTTTGTTTTGTTTTGTCTTTCCACACAGGGTTTCTCTGTGTAGCCCTGGCTGTCCTGGAACATCCTCTGCAGACCAGGCTGGCCTCAAAATTCTAGAGTTCCATTTGACTCTGCCTTTTGACTGCCTGGCCCCATGAGAGATTTTCTAAAGATATGCCACAGAGTTTGTATCTTCCAGAACCCTTGGTGTCAAGCCAGAGTGGCTCTACTAGAAAACACCAAAGCTTCGGTTAGTCAGTCAAATACATAAATGAGAGAACTGGCTGTATCTAAGAACAGAAATGTGAGTTGGATGCTGGGCATTACTTCACACACAATAGACCTCCAAGTAGCTATCAATTATTGACAGAGTAAGCAAGGTGGGGTGGGATGAGGTGGAAGGGTCACGAACAGAGAGTTGAGTGACCCTAGGTACCACCCCCATCTCTGTCATTAACTCACTGTGCCAGTCAAATGGCTCTCCCTCTGCAACCTCAGTTTCCTCAGCCACAAAAATAAAGATTGGGGCCAGGTGGTAGTGGCAGGCGGATCTTTGTGAGTTTGAGGCCATCCTGGTCTACAGAGCAAGTTCCAAGACAGGCTCCAAAGCTATACAGAGAAAGCCTGTTTCGAAAAACCAAAGTAAATAAACAAATAAATAATAAGAAAAGAGAAAGCCAGGTGTGATAGCTCATGTTTGTAATCCTAGCATTCTGGGCCTGAGGGAGGAAAACTGATGTGGGTTCGAGGCCAGCCCAGGATATACAGTGAGATCAAGGCCAGCCTAGGCTATGGAATGAGATACTGTCTCAAAAAATTGTCAGATTGGCACCAGCCTCGTGCCACAGGCCTGTAAGCCTAGCTACTCGGGAAGTTGAGTCAGGAGGACTGACTGTAAGTTCAGCTTGTCTGATCCACAGAGTAAGTTCAAATCCAACTTGGACAACTTAGTTGATGCAATATCAAAATAAAAAGGGGAAAGAGGTCTGTGGTAAAAGTGCTTGCCCAGCAAGGCCAGGGATCAAGGTTTAATCCCCAATACCGGGAAGAAAATGGATTTGACTCGTTCATTTCCAAAGTGCCTCTTCTTCTCTTCCTGTGTTTTGTCATATTTTGGGGCTTTATGGTAGGGGGCGGGAAGGCGGGAGATGTGGGAAAAGGTGGAGAAGGGCTAGTGCTTAAGCTCCGGACTCTAAGGTGTCCACCTCTGTACTGTTGCCTCAGTGGGAGGAGATTAGTGGCGTGGACGAACATGACCGTCCCATCCGCACCTACCAAGTATGCAACGTGCTCGAGCCCAACCAGGACAACTGGCTACAGACTGGCTGGATCAGCCGTGGCCGTGGGCAGCGCATCTTCGTGGAACTGCAGTTCACGCTGCGCGACTGCAGCAGCATCCCTGGCGCTGCGGGCACCTGCAAAGAGACCTTCAACGCTTACTACTTGGAAACCGAGGCGGACCTGGGGCGTGGGCGTCCCCGCCTAGGAGGCAACAGACCCCGCAAGATTGACACAATCGCAGCTGATGAGAGCTTCACGCAGGGTGACCTAGGGGAACGCAAGATGAAGCTGAACACAGAGGTGCGTGAGATTGGCCCCCTCAGCCGTCAAGGCTTCCACCTGGCGTTCCAGGATGTGGGTGCATGCGTGGCACTGGTCTCGGTTCGTGTCTACTACAAGCAGTGCCGCGCCACAGTGCGGGGCCTGGCGGCCTTCCCCGCCACAGCAGCCGAGAGTGCCTTCTCCACACTAGTAGAAGTGACTGGAACGTGTGTGTCCCACTCAGAAGGGGAGCCTGGCAGCCCTCCCCGCATGCACTGCGGCGCCGATGGCGAGTGGCTGGTGCCCGTGGGCCGCTGCAGCTGCAGTGCAGGATTCCAGGAACGTGGTGACATCTGTGAAGGTATCCAGGGCGCCTGGAGGGGTGGGATGGGGACATAGCATGCAGGTGGCAGGAGAGAGTGTGCCCTCGATGAAGAAGCAGGAGCGGAAGTGGAGAAGCCATACATAGGAGGAGTTGGGAGTCAAGAACATTTGTGAAGTTCTAGTGGGCTTAGCCAAGACCAACTCAAAGAGGTGATTTGATCCCATATAAGGATATACTAGGAACCAGGAGTAGTGGCATATGCCTGCAAAATCCAGCCCTCAGATGCTGAGTCAGGAAGATTGTGAATTCAAGGCCATACTGGGCTACACAGTAAGATGCTGTCTTAAGCAAACAAGCAAAAACAAAACAAACAAAAAGCAAACGTAGAAACCTGTATTTCAGGCAACATGATAGGTTCCCATTACCAAAGAGATGAGTACCTACCTCACTTGCAAAGTTAGGAAATGGTAGTCAGGATTGAAATTCAGGTTTGCCTGGATCTGGGAGCCTATTGCTCCACCATGCCTCCTTCATGCATAAAGAAAAAACTCCACAGCAGTTCAAACCTCAAACCTCAGGCTAGCGTTACAGAGACTTCACCTTTGACCATATTCAAGTCAGGCTGTCAGGGGCATCTCAGAGCTCAAGAGTGGTAGCTTGTACTAGATGGCCCCTAGGAGAGCCCACTCAGCTTTCTGAAGTAGAATCACTGTGTCACTAGGGGTGTTTTCTGGGTCTGTGGCTTTGAAGCATCAGAATAGGGTAGGATCTAGAATGTGTGCATTTAGTCAGAAAGTTCAAAGAATGTGTTTCTGAGCGATCACGAGCACATGCATGAGAGATAGAGATAGAGATAGAGATAGAGAGAGAGAGAGAGAGAGAGAGAGAGAGAGAGAGAGAGAGAGAGAGAGAGAGAGAGAGAGTAGCCCTTGGGAAATGGGAATCAGTTCTATCCTCCCACACGGGTTCTGGTATTGGACCCAGATTGTCAAGCTAAGCAGCAGTTGCCCTTTCACACTGAGCCTTCATTACCAAAGGATGCACCTTATAAGGCAGGTCTTTTTCTGGTTAATGAATCAGACACAGCCCCAGCTCTTGAAAGGCTCACATCTACATGGAAAGGGGCAAAACTTTATTCTCCAATTCATAAGAAAGAGATTTGTAGGGCTGGAGAGGTGGCTCGGGGTTAAGAGCACTGACTGCTTTTCCAGAGGACCTGGGTTCAATTCCAATCACCCACATGATGGCTCACAATGACCTGAAACTCCAGTGCCAAGGGATCTGACACCTGCTTCTGCCAGGCTCACATGTGATATGCAGACAAAAACCCCATGCATATAAATTAAAATAAACATTAAAAAAGAAAGTAATATGTGCTATAACAGGGCTATAGGATGGTAGGAGACAGAGGAAGTGACTAAGATTGATGTTTGTTATGAGCATTCTTTCCCTCCAGCCTGGTCTCACAGCCGTGTCAGTCCCAAATGAACACACAAACGCTATATTAATTATGAAACTGTTGGCCAATGTCTAGGGCTTCTTATTGGCTAGCTCTAACTTAATTTCTAACCCATCTCTTCATATCGAAGTGTTTCCACGTAGTCTTATCTTACTGGAGAAAGGGTCTGGACCTGTTATTCTTCTCACATCCTACATGGTGACTGACTGTGCCGATGTTTCCCAGAATCCTCCACTTCTCTTAGTCTCACCTACTTTGCTTCCCTAATGGCCAACTGTGCTTTATTCATTAACCAATAAGAGAAACATATTTACAGAATGACATCCCCTGTCAGTTGTCATTTCACTATGCTATGACAAAACATGACCAAAAACAACCCAAGGGAAGAAAGGGTTTATTTCAGTTTACAGGTCACAGTCCATCACTGAGAAAAGTCAGAGAAGGAGCTCAAAGCAAAAACCATGAAGGAAGACTGCTTTCTGGTTCAAATGTTTAACTAGCTTTTTATACAGCCTAGAGCAGTCTGACCAGGGAATGGTGCCTCCCACAGTGGGCTGGGTCCTCCTACATTAAGACAGACATCCCACAGTCAATCTGAGCCGCTGATTCAATCATCCATTCATATGAGCTGAGGATACCAACCGTGTTGCATATTTCTTGATATCTGTGTGGATGCATGAGACCTTCTCTTCTCTGGGAAACTGTGGCTAACATGAAAGAAGCAAGAACCTGAGCTCTCCCAAGCATCCAGTTCTCACCAAGTCCTCTATGCCTGTGCTACAGTGGTATACTGACATAGATGTGTATAGGGGTGTGTTTCTGAGCTCAGGCATTAATCTCAGCAGCCCCAGGGTCCACTGCCGGCCGTGGGATGTGGTAGATGCTCAGTGGAAATGCATTGACCATGTGTCTTAGTTTCCTTTCTGCTGCCATGACAACATAGCCTGACAAAAACAACTTAGGGGAGAAAGGGTTTATTTGTCTCATAATTCTGTTACATATGGTCTATCGTGGAAAGGAAGCCACAGAGGCAGGATCCTGAGAGAACCTGTCACATCATATACAGTCAAGAACAGAGAACAATGAACTGATGTGTGCCTACTAGTGCTCTGCTGGCTTCCTCCATCCTGTACATTCCAGGACACTTGCTCAGGAAATGCCACCATCCAGTTACAATGGGCCTTTAATACTGGAGAGGCGGAGACAGGCAGATCTCTATGAGTTCAAGGCCAGCCTGTTCTACATAGGGAGTTCCAGGATAGCCCAGATAGGGCTTTGTAAACAGACACTGTGTCAAAACAGAGATAGGTTTTTCTACCTCAAATAACTCAGTCAAGACAACCCCTCACGGACATTCTCAGAGGCTAACCTTATTCTACACAGTCCCTTACAGATGTGCCTAGATGTCAAGCTGACAGTCAATGCTAAACCATAACACCGTGGGTGTGTCACATCCCCAGAGAGCCCAGTTCTGAGGACAGGGAGAGTTTTCCAAAGGAAGGGAGGTTTTTCTTCCTGGCGGCTGAGACATTCTGCAGAGGCATGGTGACAGAAAGGAACAGAGTAGTTGGTACTAAATAAGTCATCCAGAGTAGTTACTGCAGAGGGTGTGTGTGGGGTGTGAGAAGTGATGAGCTGGGAGAGGGCGGGGCCATGAGAGAATGATGAAATACAGACTCTATGCTTTAGGCCAAAGAGGAGGCAAGCCAGCACTTTCAGATTTATATTTTCAAAAGACCACTCAAGCCACCAATAGCAAAGACAGGATCAGGTTGGGAAGCCTTGGAGGACAGCAGGGAGGAAGGAAGGCGACACAATAGTCCAGGAGACAGACTGTGAGCTGTGAACTGAAGTGGTGGCAGCTGTCCTTAAGTGATGAGGATGGATGTGATGGGGGGTGGGGTACAATGCTGAATGCCTGTTATCTCAGCACCCAGGAGGTGGAGGCGAGAAGAACAGGGTTCAAGGCTATTCTCTGCTACATAATGAATTTGATGCTAGCCTAGGCTACGTGAGACCCAATCTCAAAAAGAAACAAAGGAAAAAACTCAAAGAGGCAAGGTGACTCAGCAGGCAAAAACACTTGCTGTGCAACTTATACACAGCAAAAATAATTTTCTCAAAGTGTTCGGCGCATGTCTTTAATCCAGTGATTCTCAGCGTTCCTAGTGCTGCAACCCCTTATGTTGTGGTGACCCCGACCATACAATTATTTTCATTGCTGTTTCACAAGTGTAATTTTGAAACTGTTATGAATCATAATGTAAATATTTTTGGAGACAGAGGCTTACCAAGGGAATTGTGAGCCACGGGTTGAGAACCACTGCTTTAATCCTAGCACTTGGGCAGCAAAGGAAGAAGGCAGATAATTGTGAGTTCCAGGATAGCCTGTTTGAGTTCTAGGATAGTCAGGGCTCCATAATAGACCCTGTCTAAAAATAAAGAGATCGGAGGAGGCATGCTGAGAGGGTAAAGGGCAGAAAGGAGAAGGTGATGACATGATGGCTCGTGGAGATGAGTATTCAAGAGACAGCAACCTATAACATTGCGAGCACTCAGGCATGTCAAGGGCTGGATAGTGTCCACTTGGTCTTGACAAAAATAATTTTAATGTAGCAATGGAGAGAACAGGCTGCAGTCAGCTGAACAACAAAGAGCCCGGAGGAGCCAGAGTCAAAGAATCTAGAAGTCTAGTACCTCAGATAGCTCAGTTGGTAGAGCATCAAACCTAGGGATGTGGCTCAGTTGGAAGAGTACTATTCAGTTAGCATCCACAAAGCCCTGGGTTCTATCCCAGTACCACAGAAACCAGGCATGGTCATGGCAGTACATGCCTAGAATTCCAACACTCAGGAGGTGGAGGCAAGAGGGTCAGATGTTCACAGTTATCCTTAGCAGCACGGTGAGCATGTGAGGCTAGTCTGAGCTATGTGAGACACCTGCCCCCTCACACACACACACACACACACAAGCATGCACAATTGCTAGGAAAGACTCTAGAAGCCTGAATTTGGAGGGAAAAGAGACAGCATCTTCAGCAGGATGTTGGGTTGACAGGATCTTTGTGTATGAGCATGTTGTTTGAACAGAGAGAGGGCTTTTATTGCAGACCAGAGACACTTGCGTACATGCTGGGAATCGGGGAAAAGCCAGTGGCATACCAAATGTATGTGGGGAGCAATCTGTTCAAAAGGAAGGAGTGTTTTATTACTGACGCAGGTTAAAATTGCTGACGCATGTTGCTAATAAAAAAGCAGGACAACTTTTAGTCAGTTTTAGGATTGTTTTAAATAGTCTATAGTCAGAGAGCCCTTATGCCTGCATGGAAATGGACTGCTTTTCTGTTCCACCCACTAGTGACATCACTGGAAAGAGGCAGTAAAGAGGGGGTTGCAAAGACCCATAGGGGAGGTGACAGATGGAATGTCGACTTTGGGGGAAGAGAGGGTGAAAGGCAGGGGTCCAGAGAGGAGATGGTAAGTTACCCTTAAACAGGGGGTGGCTTGTCCCCACCTTTCAGACTGTAGGAGAGGAGATGTGGGTCAGATGGAGATGTTTGTGGTTTCCATAGCCAGATGTTGGGAAGAATTACCAACTCATGGCCTCTCTGTGTGCTCTGCCAGGTGTGGAGGCGTGTGTGATGAGGCAGAGACTGTCAAATTCCTGTCTACTTTATGGTGTATCTTTAGAGCCTAGAAGAACACCTGGCTTCTAACAGATGATAAAACCGTGGGTGCTTAAGAACTTGAGATCTCTGGCTTGTGCCATGCTCCCTTCCTTGGGCTGAGACCAGATAAAAGTCACCTGTAATGGTGTCACCTCTGCCCAGGGCAATGAGGGAGCTGGGGAGAATCTAGGGCAAACTTCCCAAGGGAGATGCTGTTGGAAGAGAACTTTGGAGAACTCAGCGGCCAAGGGGCAGAGTGTGTGGGACATCACCGCCAGGAGCCAGAAGCTCTCTGTGATGTTCAGAGTGGGCCTAGTGGGGGCTGCTGGAGAGGGTTAGGAAGGGAACAGAAGTATTTAGGCTTATTGTGGTACGTTCGGGCAGTCCAATTGTCTCTTGCAGCCAGGTGGACCCGTTCTCAAAGCTGGAGGAGGAGAGAGAGTTCCGATCCCCCAACTCTTTCCTTTCTTTAGTGACCTTCATTTTGGTCCTGTTGTAGCCAACATAGGGATCAATGAAATCATCTTCCCTTCGGGGACACGTCATGCCTGGCAACTTATTATCAAGTCTCCTGTGGGTCTGTCTGCTCGCTGAGACTGTACAGATTACTGGGGCCCCTGGTGGGATGCCAGGGGTGACTCTACACAGAACACCCAACTTAGGCTCTTCCTATGAATAGCTTTCTATATGGTAGCAAAGGGGAAAGAAGGGGAAGATGTCCCCATCATGAGGTATATGAGCAAAGCTGGTGAGAAGTCTCTGCAGAGCAAGGCCAATGGGAGCTGAACTAGATGACCTCCTAAAATCTGACTTTGACATTGAAGAGAGGAAGGTATTAGCTGTCAGGGAGTCCCTTTCTGAGTCTGTCTTTCAACACACCACTCTTCTAGACAGTGCCTCTCCAAGTAGGGAGGGCCACAATTGCCTGTGATGAGCCATGATGGCCACAGCTAGGAGAACAACCCTCTTCCACTCAGAGCTAGGCACCGCTACATTCCTCCTAATACCCCAAGAATTATACTTAGGGTACTTGTCCAGGCCCACACCCCTCTATTTCAGCCCTCAGTCAACGGCCTGTGATCACAATTCCCATCTGGATGATGATTTCCTCAACCCAGAGTGGCAAAGCCAATATTGCACCAGGCTTTCAAGTCTTGGCTTTGACCACCACCACACCCATAGACCCACAGGGGCCTTTGTGCTAAAGCAGTGGTTCTCAACCTTTCTAATGCTGTGACCCTTTAATACAGCTCTTCATGTTGTGGTGACCCCCGACCATAAAATTGTTTTTGTTGCTACTTCATAACTGTAATCTTGCTATGACTATGAATCATAATGTAAATATGTGTTTTCCAATAGTCTTCGGCTATCCCTGTGAAAGGGTAGTTTGACCCCCAAAGGGGTCACAACCCACAGGTTGAGAACCACTGTGCTAAAGGAAAGGGGCTGCTGGGCCCCTTCTCCCAGGGATGCCACAGCAGGCTCTGGGCAAGATGGGACCCTCCCAAGTCCAAGCCTTTCAAACAGTACAATGGTTCAGTTCTTCTCAAAAGAGTGCTCCCCAAGGGTTAGTCTTCCTCCCTGCTGTTGTTCTGTCTTCTTGGGTGCGGCCTGCCACCCTATGCTAGACTGAAGGGAAGGGCCACAGAGTCAGGTGAGGGTCAAGCAGAGAGCAGGAGCCGGGAGCCACTGCCCCAACCCGACTGAGACCCTTTTAAATGGGCACTTAGGACAGGGAGATGGCTCAGTGGGTAAAAGTGCTTGCTGTAGAGTCTGAAGACCGGAGTTGAGATGCCACATAAAAGTTAGGCACGGCAGAGCTTGTCTGTAACCCCAGCACAGGAAAGGGGAAGCAAATCCCAGGGGCTTTCTGTCCAGCTCAAATAGCTGATTCCGATAGAGACACCAGCTCAAAAAGGAAACTGCACAATGACAGAGAAAAACACTTGACATGGACCTCTGGTTTCCACATGTTCACAAATAGCCATGTATACCCACCCCCCCTACACACACAAAATAAACAAAATAGGTGTTCAGAGTATGGTCATGTCTGTAATCCCAGCTTTCGGGACAGGCAGGACCGACAAAACTTCAAGGTCAGTCATCAGCTACACTGTCAGTCGGAGGCTGGCTTGGGTTGCATGAGATTCCCACCTCAATCAATCAGCGTGTGCTTACTTGTCCCCTCTTGGGGCCTGAGAGGAGAAATAGTATCGTTACTATCACTGTAACAGCAGCCCACACAGAAGTAGATCATATCAGTGTTTCATCTCAGTCAGTTCTCCAACAATCTTGCTGAGGAAGCTAGTCTATACAAGGTGCAGAAAGATTAACCAACATCCCAAGACCACACAGCAAATAAGTGGGTGATGCAACTCTGCTACAAACCAGTTTGAGTTTCAGTCTGTTCTTAGGCACTGTGATCTGGGTTAGGTGAGTGGAGGCAAGGGTCGCAAGGTTCCTGAGTAGTGTAGGATTAGAACTAGCCTAGGAAGCCACATGTTCGGCTTTGCTTCCAAACTGGAGTCCACCGTGTGAGTTGAAAACGGTTTAGGATATTAAACGGTTTAGGACAGTGGTAGGAGAATGAACTTTGCCACACATGTGTCTGTCTGTGGGAGTGTGTATCTGTCCCAGAGTAACAGGGACCAGCCCTTGGTGGCCTTACCCTTCTTTTCTCTTGTCCACATCGTCTGCATCTCAGAGCAGTGTTGTCATGGCTCTGAAAGGGCTCAGGCTGGGGTGGGAAACCCACTAACTGTGGGGCACTGAGCAGCTTAGCCTCTCCCAGCCTCACTTTCCTCTTTTTAACCCTGGAGACGAAGCCAGGGTGACAGAAGTGAATTATGTCAGCGTCCCCTGCACACAAGCATTTGTCAAGGGCAGGGTGAGACTGGGCTAAGAGCTGTCACCCCACTTCCCCTACCCTAGGCCAGAAAAAACAGGAACGCAGGGTGGTGCATGGTCAGGGAGGAGACTCCTCCTCACCAGCCCCTTCCCACAGCCTGTCCCCCAGGGTTTTTCAAGGTGTCCCCAAGGCGGCCCCTCTGCTCACCATGCCCGGAGCATAGCCTGGCTCTGGAGAACGCCTCTACCTTCTGCGTGTGCCAGGACACCTACGCTCGCTCGCCCCACTCGTGAGTGCCCCTCCTGGCGGGCGGTGGGGAATTGGACTGACAGGGCAAAAAGGGAAGCCTTGTGTGGGTCTGGGCACCCGGGTCTGGGACTCGGGGAACCCAGAAGGATGGAGATGGGGTCAAGATTCTCTGTGGGTGGACATCTCCCCACTCCCCTCAGCTCTCCCTGGGCCTGCCTGGGACGTCCCTCCTCTCTTTCAAGTCCTCTGTTCCAGGTGACCATGTCCCCATCCCAGTCCCCTCCATGGTCCCCTTGCCCTCGTCTCAGTTCCTGGCTGCTCGCCCACGTCCCCATCAAGGGCTGCCTGCTCCCATACTGCTATCCATGCACACTGCCCACGCCCACGCCCCCGCACCCCCCGCGCGCTCCCGCCC